AAGGACTGTGGATAGACATGTCTTAAATAAACCTTCCAGTGCTGAAGAGGGAAGACATCCCTTGTGGCATCTCTCTGTTCCCCTTCATTTTCTTTTATGATAAACATTCTGCCTGATTTTATTCAGGACCTTATAGAAGCTCTTTCTGTCTTAGACCAGCTCAGCAAGGACTGCCCGAAGGTTAAAGTTAGAGAAACTTTTATCTGTGACCTTACTCATTGGTGTCAATACTGTAATACAGGAAAGTACCAGCTGTATCCTCGACTGGGCAAAGTCCTGCTGGAAGGAAGGCAGGTTTTCAAGTGGTTGGTGGCCAGGGCTGATGGGTGTCATGTGTCAGATCCTGGGGCAGAATACTTGTGCAGATTCTCCATGTATCCATAAAAGCTTCTCTGAGTGTTCTTGGTGCAGGAGACACCAGCAGAGAAATGTAGCTGTGTGCATATGTGGCTTGTGACTCCTTCTTCCCAGGGGTTCAGCCTGAGCTTCTCCCCTTGCTTCTAGCTAAGATCCTAGTTAAAGATTAAAAGCATCATACTGAAAATAAAACTAGAAAAGGGTAATTGGTGTTCAGAGCATTTGGTGTGTTTGCAGCAGCTCTGCTGTATAAATCACTTGCAGAACATGATTCAGTCACGGCATCGGAGTTTTGCAACAGTGTTCTCCAGCTTGGTTTATACAAATGACATTCTTGGGCTGAGTGCAGGGGATTTCTCCTCGCAGGAGCCTGAGAAATTACCAGGAAAACTTCAAGCAAGTACAAAACATGGACATAATCATGGGCTTCTCTTGTGGGATATGTGGCTCAGAGGTCAGGCTGGTGGGGGTCTCTCCTCCCTTCCTGTTTTCTTGCTGGAAAACATGTGGAAAACATGGTAACTCCTCTCAAATTTAGCTAATATGGGTTTGTGTGTTATCGGTGAACAAGGCAGGCTGTGTAAAATTAGAAATGCATTTCCCACTCACGCAAGGATGCTCTGGGACAGTAGAGATGCACACTGAATTACCATGAAAATCCATTTCTCTTTTGTCCCAGCTGAAGAGTGCTTCATAGCCAGCCCCAGTCAGGCACACACACGGTGCCAGGCAGGTCCCAGCCCATTTTCTGGGACGATTGCAGAGCCCTGAGGCTCCTCTCATCAGAGGGATGTGAAGCCTCGTGGCAGTGTGGTGGGAGACTGAGGTCAGCAGCTGCCTCGTGTGGTGGTGATGGCTATGCAAGTTCTAGCCACAGGTTTAGTGGTCTTGGCCTGATAAGTGAGTTAGGAGAAGCAAGGGGGCTGTGCACACTCGCTCAGATATTAATGCCAGATGTCAAGGAAAGGTTTTGACTAAGCTCCTTCCTTTCATCCAGGATCCTGCTCTTTCCCAGGCTGAGCTGGTGTTCAGCTTAGTGTTCTGGGAATGGGCTGGTTGTGAAATCCCCCTTGGCAGCTGAGCAGCAGTGGGTGCCTTTTCCTCCAGCAGCATATCCCGGGCTGCTGTCAGCTCAGTGAGGCAGGATGAGGCTGATGGTCATCAGTACAGGCAGGGAGGGTCCTGGCCCTGCTGAGGATGGGATGTCCACAGTCTCCATCTCCTTAGCACAAGGCTGGGTGAAGCTGAGCCGCCTGCTTGGCCTCGTGAGGTTGTGGTTTGTGTGACAGGCGTGGGAGGGTGGTTTGGGGGTCAGGGAGCCTTGTTTGTTAGTCACCCAGCAGCACACTGCAGCTTGCCAGCCAGAGCAGAGCAGCGTGGAACAGGCA